TTCCTGGATCTCCAGGTTTGATTTACCAACCATCCCTACATTTTTTATTCATCTGCAGCTGACGAACATGCTCTTCAACTTTAAAATCTTTTGAACTTGCAGACCCTGAAAAAAAAAAATCACGGTGCTGGGAATTACTTTGGTCTTCATCCAAAAGTTTTATAAAGCCCAGACCATATTATCAAAGCTTTTTAAAAATTAAACTACCAGGATATTTTCTGAACAGTAATAATGTTGATATAATTAATTTCATTCCTCTTTATAATTTTTCAAATAACAGTAAGGAAGAGTTTAATAAAAAAGAATTTGGCCATATCTGAGAAAATGATAGGATGAAGAAAAAGGCCTGGAAGGATAGAAGAAGGATTGTAAAATTTGAAACCAGAAATTGTTGTATCAGTTTCAATTTTCATGGCTTTGAACATAACCATTAAAAAAAAAGGAAAAGCAGATTTCTACATGTTCTGACTTGCATATTTCATGTTCACAACACTTCCATAATAATAACCTTGTTTCTGGAAGGCTGTTCCATTTATGGTACAAATTAGCTACATTATGTACACTCTGTGTTTGACTATCGGTGAAACTAAATGATAGGTGAATGATGACCAGCATTTTTCCAAACCTCATATGAAAGAGGGGCATTCTAAATCCTAGTGTGTGAAATTTATCCTTGTGTAAAAAGCTCTCTTCAAGTAAATTAAATGTTATCTCATGTTAGCAATTAAATTAAAGCCAGAGTTCTTGGACTTTACATCGGAGAAGTGCAAGCAGGGCCTGGAGCTGGTGTTTAAGGCTGCAGCACAGCTGCCTTTCAATCTGTGATCTGAAATAGCAGTTGCGGTCCCTCCATACCATTTACATAGGGCCTGGAGCTGCTGGCTCCATGGCCACTTTCCTAGCACATGCCCACAGTTGCCCTGCTCACTGAACTATGTGTAGCTAGCACGGATAGGAAGTACAATACCTTTCTGCATGTGGCACTATCATAAAATAGTGTTCTGTATGGTCTTGCAGTGGTCTTCTGCTCTAGGATGAATTTCACCTATGGCTTACATTGTGCAGAAGTACCCGGGTGATTTGTCCCCAAAGAGATTAAATGCACAGCTCCCTCATTCAATAGTACCTGATAATTCCCAGTAGGCACTAAAGCTAGGGGAGGATGGTATCAAATGGAAACAATCTCAAAGAATTATATTTTGAAAGGATAATAATGAAACAAATTCAATAAATTATCAAAATAAGAACCATCAATATATTATGTTAAACATTACTGTTTTTGAAGATCAACATTCTCTTTTCTAGCATGACGTTGAAAACTCTTAAGCTTTACAAAAACAACAATATGTAATGAGGCTAAAACTATGACACACTGAAACAATTACATCAACAATAATTACACTGGTAATTGTTTAAAATGGCTTCAGTTTCTTAGATTGCTTACTCACTGTCCTTTAAGTGTCAACATAATGTTACAATCAGGGAGCAGGTCATTTACTTAGAGAAGCAATTATAAAATGCAAATGGTTGAGCATTTATTGTCAAGATTGTCACAGAGAACAAAGGTCTGCTTTACAACATGTCTCCAAGTAGATGACATAATTGTGTGTTTGTATTATAAACAATAAGGAAATGATACCAACGGTTGGCTTTTGAAAAGACTGTAATGAAAGAAGAGAGGTGGACATTTTGACACATAATTTCTATTAAAATTTGGCAATTACATTTCCTTCTAAAAATACAATATGCCATCTTGTGGTTGCTCTAGGGTGACCAGATAGCAAGTGTGAAAAATCAGGATGGGTGTGTAGGGGGATAATAGGGTCCTCTATAAGATAAAACCCCTAATATCCAGATGGTCTCAATAATATTGGGACATCTGAAGGAATGCAGCTTAGAGATCTTGGAAACTCCAGTGTCCACTTATCTTGCTCCATCACTTGGACTGGAATTTTAACCCTCTGCTATAAAGAAAGGAAATAGTATATTGTCACAGATCCAAGGATAGAACTCCCATTGAGGGGAAGTCAGTGGAAGTTTTGCTAGGCTGGGTTTAGTACTTAACCCATAAGATTTCACAGAATAAAGTACAGGCTATCAAGTGAATCAAATATTTGTTCAATTTTTACTTTCGATCAGAATTTAAAATAACTAGTAAAATCACTGTTACTTTTTCTGTGGTTCATGGAAGGCTGTATGTTGCTCTGTCATACACTGTGCAGCTCATTAAAATGGTTGGAATTGTTGAACAGGTTTGCAGAGGTTGTATATGGCAAAGTTCATCTCAACCTGCTTTCTCAGTCTCTGTTACAAACATTTTCAGGGACCACAGACTGCCTCATTCAGTATTCAGAACTCCTTCTTACTTCAGTGGAATCTGCAACTGCAGACTTGTATTTGTCAAAAACATCTGATCTTGATCTTGTCCAATGAAACAAATAGATCAGGTATATAACTGCACAGCTTCCCACTTTTACATTTACCAGTGTGCATTCTGCCCTTGGTAACGTAAGTAGTCATTTTCAGCACAATGGGTTTCTGGTAGTAGAACTGACTCCATGTACTGCTGATTTTCATTTCTTCAGATTTGTATATTCTAGTGAATTCTTAGTGGATTAGGACACTGTTGATCTTTTTCAAACAAATAAATCAAGGCGAGTGCAAATGATTGACAATTTTACTCTGATCATTCTTGTCTTTGCTTTTCAAAATAGTCAATAAAATACAAATTCCTCTGTGCCTGGAGAACACTGTGATGAAATGAATGCAAACGTGTATCTGAAGGTAAGGTCTGACTCTTTCTCAGAAAGACCACCACTAGTTACATGTGTTCCTGGCAAGTTTTTTCATGTATATCAGGTACATGCAAGATCTGAGCCCCTATTCCACTAAATTTAAAAGCATTGGTACAAATAGCACAATGAGAGTTTTGCTTCTGCTTTTTCGAACACAGCTTCATTTTACAGGGATCTATACTGCAACAGGCTTCACACTGCCAGACCCTCTCCCCACGTAGGACCCCACTGAATTTGATGGGCACATGGATCTACCCCTGTACAGCCAGTTGGAAAGTCAAGGCGTAATATTGAAATGTTATTGACTATTTTAGAAAAAAAGCATCTAATCTGAAAAAAGTGCACCTAAATTAAGCATGCAAAATGTGCAGTGGCCTGATTAGTTACCCATGTTGCAGGTGCAATTCCACATATTGCACCTGCTAAAAGGCAGGCATACATTTTATCAACAAATGACCATTTGCTCTTTGGGCTCAAAGACTGAAATCTATTACATTTATTTTGTTTTCTTAGCTACAAACATAGAGCTTGATCCTCTCTGCCCCTGCCCCACATGTGGAGCTACCATTGGCCAAAATGGTTGTTCCAAAAAATGGAGAGCTTGTAGCATCAGTCCCTGAAACACAGACAAGGTCACATTTTCTTCCTCACCTAACCTTCCTGGTGCAGTATCCAAGGATAAGTCATGCTGTTAGCTTCATACCTAATAATAGCATATAAGATGAAATATGCATTCAACCCCTGTAAAGCATTAATCAATTTACATTATAAAATTCTCATCAAAACAGTCCTAGATTAGTAAATGAGGATTTAAATTTTTTTTCAGATCACTTAAACCAAAATATACTGAAGTTCATATTAAGTAAATTTCTTCTAAAGTGGATAAAGACATTGTGATGCACATTAATTATAAAACAAATGGTAAATTTTCAAAAGAAATTTGTTTCTGAGATACAAAACTCCAGAAGTAGGTTGAAAGAATTGAATATTCCTATATTCTTATAAATTAGAGCATCAGTGGATTCACTTTTCCTCTCCATAATTAGTTTTGTACAACTTAATAAAATCTACCCATGTCCAAATTTTGTTTAGGAACCTGTGACCTCACACTGCCTTGTTGTTTAGTATCAAAGCTTTCTTTCGCAGTATGTTACTAAAAATTAAGACTTCATACACAAAGAGCTAGGTATATCCATATAAATTCAGAAGTCTCAAAAGATAGGCCTTAGATTTTTCTGAGTGATATTTCAAGTTACAAAAATTCACAGGTAGCATCTGAAAATCAATATCAATACAAATATGCCTTTGGGATTTACTACTGATTTTAATAAAATAAAGTATAAAAATAGGGATGAACAGAGGTCAAAAGCTCCTCAAAAATGTAAAAGAAAAAGAAAAAAGAAAAGAGAAACCCGGTAAATATACCACATTTTCTCCCAAGTTTTTAAATGTAAATTAAAAATATGGCATATAAATAAAAGCTATACTCTTTAGTTCAATTTTAGATGTTACATATGTGCATATACATATTTATTATGCAAAGCTGATGATAGCACCCAAGAATTCTGCAAGAAAATAGCAGACCCAGCAACAGTTCAATTATCATACTTGTGCAAATGGTCAGTACAGGACAGGTTAACACTAGCTGTTTCAAAACTGGATGAATTCAAGTTACAGGAGATCAAATTATAATCAGTAGTAAATCCACAAAAAATAATATTGATCTAATAATTTCCAGATGCCACCAAACCAACTTGTCAAGTGTGAACGTCTTCAGGAAAGGACATTTCTATGGAGACATTTCTAGACTTCTGACTTTGAACTGATACACAGTTTTGACTTTTAAAAATCAGATTTATCTGTAGAAGATTAATTTGTTTCCAATTACAGTTTCTCATTTCTTCTTCATCCATAAAATTAACTGCAGTGAACTTCCAGGAGTAATAAGCTGTCTTTTTTCAGGCTTGTATAAGAGGAGAAATAGTCACTTGTCCTGAAAGCTGGCTACAATTAAACATATTAAAGACAAATTAAAAGCTGTATATGTGACACATCAGGTGCTCTGTTGTGAACCTTTGTTACAGAAATACTATACTAGGGTATAAAGGATATCAGAATAGCCCGTCATTGGATCATCAAAATGCTTAAAAACTGATTTGATTATAACAAAAATTATTACATTAAATGGAAAAATACAATATTTACCTTTTCCAACTGGGCATTTTTTTTTGATTTGTACAAAAACTCCCCCACTGCCACAAAGACAGAAAGCACCAATCCAGCTGCCAGAACGATGAAAATGCCACCAATATTTTGAACTCCCAGAGCACTGGCCTCTTTACTCTCCTCTTCTGGACAACCATTGCCTCTCCACCACTTCTCCTTCATCATGTGGAGCTTGCCTTCCTCTTGCAGCTGAAGAATTGCTATAGTGATCTTGTCTCTGTATGGAGACCCTGCAAAAGAATAGAGGAAACGTGCAGTGCACCAAAGTATATTTTCAGGAGAGTAAAAATGTTTTAGTTTAGTCCTGAGAAGGATATAACACAAAAAATCCTTGTGATGATTCACAATTTTTTAGGCATGGTTTGGTGGGGGAAAGAGGATGTTTTTTAAAATCTTTTTCAGATCACAGAATATGAGCCAGTTTTCAAAGTTAGTGCATATAATTGAACCCACATTTTTATACATGATTAATTTATTCATGAAAATACCGAATTTGTGTACACAAATCCAGTAACTGCTTGTGCACCTGGCTGGTTAAGTAGCTAATTAATCTTGTACACTTATAAATACGGGTTCTATGCATGTATATCAGTATCTGAGCATACATGCAAATGCAATTACTACAATTCCTGTAGCTAAGTAACGTGATTTTGGAAATGAAAACGTTCTAAACATCACTCGTTTGTATGGACTTCAGAAATCTTAAGCCCTGTACAACCAAGCAAATATAGGATTAGTTACAAGTTATTTAGTTTAACATATCTAAAACTATAGACTATTTGCTTCTAGACCCCATACAAGAACTGATACAAGAAACAGCATTTCAGTTGCTTACTTCTCATAGCTAGAACAGCAGCTTTCAAGGCCAAACCACCACAGTATGCAAAAGTTTAAAGTCACAAATAATCGAACAACTATGACATTTACCAGGCACTTATCAACCTCACATCAAGAGGGCAGAGTAAGGTGGATACCAAGCAGTGAAGCAACAGGGAGCAGAGTGAAGACTGTTTGGATATGTTAACTCTCCATTTCTGTATTTTTCAATTTTTATTTTACTCCAACATCTCCTATTTCCAACTCTTAATGATTTCTGGAAACTTAAGCATTGATCGTCAGTTGGTGTAAACAGTAGCTCTATGTAAATCAATGGAGTTTTGACAATTTAAGTCTAAGAGTTTGGGAAGGTTGTTTGTTTGTGTTTGTTTGTTTGTTTGTTTCCCTTAAGTTACTAATACACATTTACAACCTTAACTATACTTTAAGAAAGTTTTTTGTCCCTGCATGAAAACAGGTGTGGCAAATAGCTATAATTACAAAAGATGTTACAAGAGTCTCAACCCTATCACAAATAAACAAATACTATAAATACAACAATATCCCCACAGAGTGAGTCCATTACAGATGTGCAGAACTTTGAGGTCTCAGAAATGTTGATTGCTACTTTGTGTCAAAAGAATCATGCTCATTGTCAGATTGTCAGATCAACTACATGATAGGGACATTCAAATACCTTCAAAAATGTTTCTTTATTCACTTTATTAACTAAAAGTTAATGGAAAACCACAGACTTAAGGACATGGTGGGCAGAGGCATATCTTAATGACTTGACAGCAGCCCTCTCTATTTGTGGGTAGATAGTAGGATGAAAAGTCCCACTGCTGTATGTATACATAGTCAATATTCCTTTGTGCTATGTATGTTGTACCCTTATCAATGTGCAGCTTATATTCCTTTATATGATTCTGGTGCATTGTATCCATTTCAAAGTTAAGCTCCCTATAGTTCGCTTTTGTTTATAGTCCCTAGATTTGAACTCACACCCCAGGGGAAAGAGGGAGCTAAGTTGGCTGCATGCCATCCTTGTACCCTCCCAAAGTAGGATGCTCCAGTGGCTGTAGCCCTGGGGGCCTAAGTTACAGCACCCTCCCATGGTTGTTCTGTGGACTACAGTATTGCCTAGAATCTCTGCAGCTTTGTGCCCTGCAACCCCAACTCTGGAACACCCTTCCTCCTCCCATTTCCACCCCACTCCCTGCAATAGTGTTGGCAAGAGTATCCAGCCCTTTTACCTGGCACAAAGAGGACAGGGTGGGGCTGAGGATCTTACTCTAGCATGTGGGGCAGAATATTCTCTTATATTTGGTCTTCAGGTATCAAATCTGCTTCCCCTATTGGCCTGACACATTCTGAGTTTGTTGTCCTTCAGAGCCCAGCATAAAGTTGCTTTTTCTTCTCCAGGCTGTGACCAAATGGGAACAATTTTTTTTGAGGAGGGTGGGGAAGAGAATATATTTTGCTGTAGGTAAGCTTCTTTACCTTTTTATGAGAGGTTGTTTTTATTCTTTGTACAGTGCCCAGAGACTTTCCAATGAGCACTTCACAAATTAAATTATTTAATAAATAATGTGAACAGAGAAGGCTTTTATTTTTGGAAATGCAGGGAATAAATCACTGACATCAGTCATAAGTGCCCTCTGTGTTGAGACTTCCTATCATGTTTAGGGATATAACAGAGCCACCTGTTTTATTATTATTTTTTTTCTGGATGTCCAAATAAAAGGCTTTAACTTAAATTGGATACCAATGTGAACCTGAGTAAAAGAAAAAAAAATAAATCAAAAGTCAGAACACATCGTGTGAAAGGTGGTGTCAGTATGTATATGAGCCCACAAAGAGGACTCTCTCTTCATGAGCTCTCTCTCTCTAGAGTGCCCCTCATAATTATAGTAACTATTGGTTGCAGTTTTTATGGTGTCTTTTTTGGTTGATTAATAAACTGTAGGGCTTGTCTACACTGGGCATCAGTCCACACCAGAGAGGTGTAAATTCTAGTGTGCACCTGTGTGTTGTGCAATAACAAGTGCTGGCATCCATGTGTGAAAAGGGGCATTTGTGCACACACAAGAATATTTATTATTCACTATTTGTCATTTAAAATATTTCAGGTTTCTGTTGGGAGAAGCTGGAGTGCAAGACCCAGCAGCAAAAAGTCCACCCAGAAGGAATTGCAATGGCAGAAAATATCACAATCCCAGATACGGTGGGCTCTGGAGATGGACAAGTAGCTTAGAAAGAGGTCAGGACTGACCTGGTAGAAGATATGGAAAATGCAGCCAGCGATTACACTCTGTAAACACTCTAAACAATCCCTGCATGTGGAATTCTGGCACTATGGGTGTAATTTTCATGGCCCTCAAAAGAAATAGAGAATGAAATGAAGTCCCAGGAGTTTTGAACTTCCATCTGTACTGTAGGAAGCAAGCATGCTTTTTAAATCATTAACATTATTCAACAGAATTCATCTTGAAGGGTGTGAAATCCCTTGCATTTTCTGAAACTTTAAAGCTCTAGGACTGTGCCTAAAAATGCAACAGTAATATAAAGAATAAGAAGAGAGTGAAAACTAAGAGTCAAATTCTTCCAGATTCCCAGGCATGACAGAAAGTGCATCTTTCATTCTGTAGTGAAAAAGGAGTGTGAACTGCAAACACCAACCATCAATGGAAAGAGAAATAGTGGGGAAAAAACATCTTAGGATAGGCATACATAGCTGTGCAGAATAAGAGAGTATGTCTATATGAAATGTGAGGGTAGAGCCTTCTATAAAAATATCCTATCATGGAAGAATGGGAGAAGAAACAAAGTTCCAATGAACACAGGCACAGGGGTAGATTTTTAAGCAGAAAGCCACAACTGTATTAACGTTTAACTTTTGAGGGTGGGCTAAATTCTCCCCCTACTCTCCTGATAATCAGGTATTTATTTTGGTTCAGTACGGTGTTAAACTGCCTCCAGGCCAAATAATCAATATTCATTGCATGCCCTCTTCAGCCTGCCACCTAGAATTCAGACCATCGCTGAATCCTCTCCCCTGCTCCCTGTGAGAGGGAGCAAGGGCACACATAAAAGGTATCTCAGTCTGAGAAGACTTAGGGCACGTCTACACAGCAACTAAACACCCTTGGCTGGGTTGTGCCAGCTGACTCGGGTCTTGGGGCTTGGGATGTGGGGTTGTTTCATTGCTGTGTACACGTCTGGGCTCAGGCTGGAACTGGGCTCTAGGACCCTGCAAGGTTGGAGGGTCCCAGAGCTTGGGCTGCAGCCTGAGCCCAAATGCGTACATTGCAATTAAACAGCCCCGCAGTCCAAGCCTTGCAAGCCCGAGTCAGCTGGCACAGGAAAGTGCAGAGGGGAGGATGCAGGTGCCCCCTCCTTCTTCCAGGCTAATTGGGGTTAACAGGTATCTACAAGGTCTTGTGTTTACAGCTGGAGTTGGCCCCCTAGAGCCTCTCACCTGCACTGACCACAAGCTGCAACAAAATTACAAACTTCACTTGTAAAATTACAACTTTAAAATCCTGTCCTTTATCCTTATGAATCCCAAAGTGAGCCACCATGATGAAAAAACCCACCAGACACCTTGTTAGTCTTGGGGAAACATTTCTTCTGCATTCTCAAAACTAGAGATTGGTCAAATCCACAACATCTTGGGAACACATTTCAAACTCTTTCTCTCTCCATTATAGGGCAGGTAAGGCAGGGCAGCAGCAACAGTACCACTATGTCTGCTGCATGCTCCGAGGATTTCACATACAGGAAGTGTGGGTTCAACAGACAACCAGTTTTTGCTTCCCTCCACCACAGCCTAATGTCAGCAGAGAGAAGCAGAGACATTCTCCTCTACTCCTGCTCTGATCCCTGCATGTTCTAGGCAGGGAAGGTGGGAGAAGGCCCCAGAGCATCAAAGTCTGACCCTCTCTTCTCTCTTTTCTCAGGATCCTGGGGTTGTCTTTTCCCTGCCAGTCCAACCATACACCTCCATTCTAAGATATGGGTGAGGTGGTATATGTAAACATGCTTGTAAAGTGTGTGTTGTTTCCCCCTCTAGTGGCTATCCCACAGAATGGATAGTAACCTACTGCAGCTGCCAATTTATGGAGGTACTCTTATTTCAAATGCAGAGTCTGTGTTTGGGTGCTAAAGCTCCTGGTTCAAGTCCTGATGACCTGTGGTAGGTTTCATTAAATACACTGTAAGTTACTACAGGTTCCTAGGTCATATAACTTTCCCTCATTTGTTACGATGACTGTGAGATGCTGACCCAGTAGACAATGAAGTCTAAGATCAAATCCCTTGGAAATAGACTTCAAGACGTGATAGCACTTTAGATCACAAGACAGGCTAATGGCTTCTCAATAACCAGCCAGATCAGTGAAATTGCATTATA